TGCCACGGGCCTCATCAGATCCAGGTCTAGCCCCGATCTTCGCCCCTTGTCAGCAGGAAGCAGCTCCAGAAGAAGAGACCTTCATCCAACTATCATAAAACAAAAGCCTGGAATGATAGGTCTCCCACTACCTCAGCAGCTATTATGTATAGTAGCTGCTCTCTTCCTATCGTACCTTGCCCCCTCCCCTGTGTGACATCATGCCAAGATGGTTGCTCCCACCAAAGAATAAACCTTTCTTCCCAGCATGCCCCTGTTCCCACCTAGAAAGTAACCTGATACTCGCTCACCTCCTACCATCTAGTGACATCACCAGCTCATCCATTCCCTAGTCACTACCTCACTCAACCCCACCTCAGCCCCTACAAACCCCACCCCAGTCTCTATAAAAGACTCTTCCTGCCCCGGCCATATTGCTTTTTTCTCTCCTTTGTTCAGAGACAGCCTGGCAGATCTATTCCCCTAATAAAGGCTTGTTGTGGCCTGGTCTGGTCTTGGTTTTGGGCCCTTTTACCTGACAGGAACCATGGGCCAAAATTTCTGGAATAAGCAGCAAACGAACTACTTTCCCTTACCCTGATAGTGAGAGGTCACATGACAGGCATGAAATGGTCACTTTGACCTACTCAGTTGTCTCTGTGTCTAGCTGCAGACACTGATCCATCCCAGGAGGCAGGTAAGATTTGCAGTGTGGCCTACTTCACAGCCATGTGCAAGAATACTCAAGGCCAAGACAGTTGTGCCTCTTGTAATAATACACCCATAAACATTCTTGGCATGACTCAGGTTTTCACATGAATATATGATTCCACTGACCACTGATAAATCTTGGAGACAGAGGCTTCATTCCATTTATATTCTACAGCATTCAGTTAAGGGATCAACAACATCCAAACAGCAAATTGAAGCCAGTCTGCAGCTTTACCTCAATCCTGACCACCTCCAAACTCCTAAAAATCCCATAAAGTTTTTGATTCTACTTCAGTGGCTTTCTGCTTAAGGGTCCTATTTGACCTTTCCACTTGCTCCGAGGCATTAATCCAGGCATAAATACCTGGATGTGTTGAGATGGCTAGGGATCTGACACCTAGGCCCAGTATATCACCAGAAACAATCTGACAGGTGAGGTAAGGCAGACCTTAGAATGACTTCTAAGGTTCAAGAGGTATCGCTGATCACGTTAGCTAAGCTCAGGGACAAATTCGTATCATCTTTTCTTGGTTTTTGTTTTTTTTTTGTTTGGGGGGGGCGGTTTGGTACCGGGGATCGAACTCTGGACCTTGTGCTTTTGAGGCAGGCTCTGGAACCACTGAGCTAAATCCCCGGCCCTTATATCACCTTTTCTAAGTGATCCCTGTGACTGGACCAAACAACTGACCTTAGAGTGAGTTTTTCCAAGTAACTAAGGGCCAGTTTCAGGAAGATCTCCACAGTCATGAGGGCTAATAGGATTTATGCCAGGTTTCCTAAACACTTGAAGGTCTCTTATGGCCACAACTAAGGTGTAAATTACTGTGATCTTGGGAGTGGAGAAAGTAATGCCATGCTTCCATACAAGAAGTACAATCCTGGGAGTGAGCAGGGTATCCCTAGAGAGCAAATGTTAATTAAGATTGTGGCACTTCCCTACTGGGGCCAACATCTGTCTGAGATCATAGGTCCACACTCCCTACACATCCTGAGAAAAGTTGTAACAGCCAGTAGTCTTTAAGACTACTTCCTAAATCTTGTCTCAAACCCTTCCCTGATTCCTCAATGACAGGCAATAAATGGAGGACAGGGTATTTCTTACATGATCACACAATCTGGTCGGCATGCTCACTGTTCTGGCATTCTGTCAAGTCCTGTTAGGTGGCTACCACAGCCTTCATTTTTCCTCTTCCAGACAGCCACATCTCTGTCAGTGTCCTGTCTCCATAGCCAAAAGTCACCAGAAACATGAAAGGTTTGAGGCTTTCTTGTGTTTCCAAGTTAGCAAGTTCACCAACAAGTTTCATCATGGGAATATGAGACACCAAAGCATCTGTGTTAAATACAAAGGATAATGAATTATTCACAGCAATAGGAGTAACCAGGAGACCATTGTTAATCCCCCCCCCCCCCCGCCTGCTGCCCCAAATTCTAATTCCCACAGGTCACCATGAGAAAGGCCAGATAGAACATATTCTTGAGTGTGATGATACTACAAGAAAAGAACCCCTGAACTTAGGGAAACTGACTCTTATCATGGGCAGTAAGCACGCCTGCTCTTCGCTCCAGAGTAATTTTCTATAGATTCTAAGGATGTTCACTGTGAAAACATTTTTGAAAAGATAGCTTGGAACAAAAAGTAACCAGTACTTCAATTTCAGGATATTTAAAACTTACAGAGAGAACTGTCTTCCAACAAAAACCTTCAATTTCTTAGTAAAAATTTACAGAAGCTACTGGTATTTATGAATCAACTTCCAATTCACATTTTGCATGAATTAAGGTTGTATTCAGCTATATATAACAAAATCCTGACTGTAACTATTTAACAAAATGTGTTGTGTGTTTTATTTTGTTTTCTTCTGCACATAAACAGAAGCCCAGTAGCAGACTGTCCAGGTCTGGTACATCTAAAAATGCAGTTGTCAAAGACCCAGGAATA